CTAAATGCACGCATAAGTTCCGCATTTGACGCAAGGATGCTCGTCAGTTTCCGGTTGGGGAGATTAAAGCGGAGGAAAACCGAGGAAAACGGGATTATAGCAGAGTCTTCAAAATGTACTGTCCTCTCGTCTTTGAAACGAAACTTTCATACGTTTAGATGTAATTTTATATATAGTTATGTTTATTTAATATAATTTTAAAAAGAAGCATAAACACAACGAGGTGTGTCTGTTTTGTCCGTTTTTGTGACTAACGCTTCTTTAGTATAACCATGGAGTATACAATTCAATATAAATTCTCGGTATTGCATTGGACTCTATGATCGGCGGAAGTTATCGAGCATCCTTGACCTTCACCGGAAATACCGCCGTGCATAGAGCCCATTGAGATGTCCTTCAAGATGGCTGAGCTCGATCGGTTTCCGGGTCATAGGATGGAGGACGGAGGAGCGAGGAGACGAGGAGGGATATTGAGAAGCACCCCCAGTGTGTGTGTGTGTGTGTGTGTAGTCTGGTCACAGCACCTGTCAATCTCAAAATGGCGGCCAATCAAGTCAAAGAAGGCGGGGCTTACTGTTAGTTTTAGCAGTGAAAGAGTGCGTGGGAGATTCAAGCTAAACATTTAACATTTGACAACTTTTATGATAGAAATGTTCAGCGACTGAGTAATATCCAGTGATGTGAACTTCTCAAGCTTTTGTTGTGAAATTTCACCGTTTTGAATTGAAATTGTGCTATTGTTTATGTGATGAGACAAGAAATGTTTTGCATTTTCATATTAGATTTGCCAATAAGAGTGAATGTGTGCATGTTTTAAATGGATTCCATTGTTCCTACAATAGACCTGGAACACTTACCTATATTATTATCACTCTTTCTTTATTCCTTTAAATCAGCTTTACTCTTATAATGATTCAGCTGTCAGTGATTAAAGCTCAAACTCAATTTTATCCATAAATGTAAATGCATGGAAAGTTCAACTTAATTAATTTGCCTAAATTCATTTTGATGTGTATGAATAAATATCTGGTATTTACTTTGTTCTCAATTAATAATCCTAAAGTTCTTAATGTATACTTTTATGTAGTAAGTGTAGTTTATGTCCTGTTATGTGCAGTAATATCGGGTTTGTATGAATGCATATCTTTACTGTATTTACATAATCTGTACTGCCATTATATCATTATATATGTACAAGATTTGTGGTGCTCAATAATAATAATAATAAAAATGTATCGATAATCTGAACCACTGAAAGAAATCAATTAATTTCAACACATTTAGAAAAGGTGAATAAACAAACGTGTTCTTATATCTTTACTGTAGTTTTCATTTCAGTATCCAGATGAATATCACACACACACACACACACACACACACATAAACGAGTTGCAGAAAAAAGCACATTAAAATACAATGTATTGTTATTCAAGCTCATGGATAGACAGATAGATAGATAGATAGATAGATAGATAGATAGATAGATAGATAGATAGATAGATAGATAGATAGATAGATAGATAGATAGATAGATAGATAGATAGATAGATAGATAGATAGATAGATAGATAGATAGATAGATAGATAGATAGATAGATAGATAGATAGATAGATAGTTTGTCCTCCAGTGGCGCTCGATCCACATTAAAAACCTGGACTGTTTTTGTGGCTAGTGTAAAATAAAATAAAAATACATAAATACGTTTGAAAATAAGTAAATAAAAGTAAATAACATTTGATTTAAAGAATGACACATCAAACAGTACAGTAGCCTACTATAGTGGTTAGAAAAGTAATATTATACATATTTATCAGATTAATTTTTCACAGTATCAATTGGGTCTTTTAAAGTTCAGGATGTGGGTCCATCGCACGAGGATGATCATATTTGAATAAAATGATCTAGAATATTAATACCCCCCGCATTGGAGAATACAATTGTTAAAATATATTTAATTTATTCCATTCCACATTAGATGTAAATCTGCCGCAGCTTTCTCTCCTCTGATTGGTTCATCCTGAGCAGCGCTGAGGAAAGTAACAGAAACAACGTGACATCTGTCTATACGCAATTTAGACAACTGACTGAGTTTAGAATAGCACAATACTTTACTGTCTCTGCCATATGAAATAGTATGTATGTATAACATTCAAATTCAACCTATAATGATTACTTCAGACCATCGATCCTCCAACTAGAGACTCTTCCGGGTCGCGAAGCCCCGCCCACTCGACCACGTGTCTGTTGTGTTTATGGGCGCGTTGAGAAGCGCGTGCAGGTTTATTTCTCTACTTCTGCAAAAATCACAATGGCAAACTTCAGATTCATAGGTGAGAGATTACTATTATGTGTCTGATCATTTAAGAAATGATCTTTCTGCAGAAGGACTGAAACATGAAGGTTTATGACACTGTCACTCATAAAGAAACATGTACTGTGGTTTTTGTATATAAGCTCTATTATGAACACAATATCGGTCTTGTCTCCAGATATTGGCAT